TTATAGTAGAACTATAGCTAGTCCTATTCTAGTTAGTTTTAGGATAGGTAGGGTAAAACTAGACTAGGACTAATTATAATAATTATCTATATAGTTATATAGCTTCGAAAGTTTAGGTTTAGGGTGATACTTAATATTATATTATATACTAGGTTCTCTTTAATAGAAGAAGTATATTACTAAACGAATATTAAGTATAGAGAAAGAAAAGAAAAGAAAATAAAACGTAAAATAATAAATGGGTCTTTATACCCCTTTGGGGGCAAAGCCCTATCCTCGCTTAACCTAGAAGGAAGGTACGATTACCTATGTAAACGAGAAGGAACGACCAACGGTACAATCCCAAACGGGAAGGTACGAGTTCTTCAAGTGCCAATCGTGACATATAGTTTAGAATCTATAATAATAAAAAGGTAGGGTATTATAGCTAAGAGAAAGGTATAATATACTATATAGATATATTATAATAGTATAAAAAAAGAATATAATTAGTTAATAATACTATTGTCTAACTATATTAGGATAAGTATATACTATGATTAGATAGATTGGTTAAGGTAGATAATTGGTTTTTTTTTTCTACCGGCTGGATCTATTCTACTGTTTCTCAGCGATTACTTTTTTACTAACTAGATTTCTATTTTTTTCAACCCAGTAGAGAGAGCGCCTGGTCATATAATCTCCTTTCGAGGCGTTCCCTCCGGGGGCCCTTCCGGGGGACCCCTTCCTAGGGGGGAGTTATTTTTTTTAATTGCTTCGCTTCGCTCCGCAATAAGCCTAAACTAGGGGCATCGACGTGAGCATTGGCCGCGTGACCAACGTGAGGTCTCAGGGGGGGCTTTAATATATAGTTTATAGACCTTAAGTATTAAAATTAAAGAAAGAAGCACAAGTATCAGCAACTAGTCTACATGCACCATAAGTGACTAGCACCATAAGCAATAAATTCCAGGGAAGACTATCTTATCTAGTCCTTATTGCTGCCTGATACCATAAATATGAGATTAGGACATGTCACCCATAAGATCTTCATCCATCTCAAGTCCAGCCTCCACCCCTACAATGGGATTGACTTCACTAGACCCCGACCAAACTTGACCCTTGTGTAGGCTATCAACGTACTCATCGCTTAATCCCAGATTGTGATTGGTTTCGCCAAGATTAATAACCAGGGTCTCCATGAGCTTCATCTCTTGCTTGAGTTGGGACTGCAAGTCCAACTCACGAGAGAGTCGAGGTAACGAATGGATGGATAAGAACCGCAGCATAGAAGATTCAGCATCATCTTTGGTCTGTACCAATGTCGCGTTCAAATCACGAGACATGATGAGGGATGAAACAGCGGACCCAGTAACTTCGGCACACACAGGGGAGGGGAACACCTGCTTCGAGAGGTCGGCTATCGTTAAAGCTGCGAAGGTCTTCCCAAGCTTGATCACGGTTTGACTGAAGAAAGCACCCACTACCTGGGTAACAAGACCGAGATTATTGTCCTAGAATGGCGGCATTAGCCCTGGATGTCAAAACGATAACACCTACTCAATTAGCACCACAACTTACCGCGCACCAGACTCCATTGGCAGCATCAATTTCAGCATTAAGCCTCTTCAAATCACCACGTTCAAATGCATGAGCAAGAATGATATAGGGCCTCGCAAGTGATTGATACACCTTAGCCACATGAGGTGTTGTGATGCTTGGAGGCGGACAGAGCTGTCCACAAAAATAATTAGCTCGAGAAAACAATGCTGTCGAGTCTCCTTTCTTTTTTTTTTTCAGCGAAGAGATATCTTACCTTGCCCTTTTCTAGTAAGCTTACTAGCACCCATTTTTTGTAGGCTTCCACCATAATCAAGCTCACGGAGTTAGTACTAGGTGTAGAGATGACAATCCCAAGGAAATGAAGTGCATTGCGCCACTCCTTCAACGCCATGTACACCATACTACCATAAAGAAAGTACTGCAAGTAGTCTCGATATGATAGCTTGGATGAAATCCGGGAATCTTCGGTCATAAAGGATACACCTGACCCATGATCTGCGCAGAGCACAGAGGGATCGGAAGGGGGACTTCCTAGCGAGATTGGGAAATGACAAATCTGCTTATTCAAGATCGGCAATGCACAAGAATATGCCTTGGCCTCGAGACAAAGCCGGACAAGCAAAAGGTGACTCGAGGTGAAAACGGCACATGATGGGTCGAGACGAAGCATAGCGTCCTTAACCAGCGTAGCACCTAGCAGTGGCTGTAGTAGGGTTAGGTTAGCAATTAGATATAAGAAACCTTGAAAAATAGCCGACTTGCCATTGATGCAGCTTGTGAGACTTGCCCCACGAGCTCAATAAGAAGGCGCCATTCTCGCCCAGCGTATCTGACCTGAACCCCATCGAAACTCGTCAAAAAATGTGCGGCGCATATCCAGAGCTTCCCAGAGGGGCGAATATCTGCTGGAAATGAATCGGCATTCAGTTCCTGTGCCTTTTGTATTTGCACACGTAGCACGAAAAGATATGGGATAGAATCTATCGCTGGATCAAAACGCTAAAGACAAATACATATTAGTTGCGATCTTGCCACTCTATAGAACCCTCTCAGATTGGACTTGATACAAATAAAGCTGCTTACATCGAGAAAAGACTCATCATTAGCAAGTGAGTCGAGTGCCTTGGTTGTTTGTAGCCGCCTGAAGTATTCGACTAGCTCGCGAACCCGACGGTCATACTCATCGCTGGGTGGGTGGTTAGAGTTGTGTAACTGCGCCGATGCGGAGATAATATCCGAAAGGAGTGTCATCCTGGAAGTTTATGAAAGAGAAGCACAAGATAGCTCGGCGTCAAATGCGCAAAGGTGTGTTGTTTCTCAAACCAGTGTGATATCTTGGCTCTCACTTTTATGATATCAGGGTTGCCATACAATAGAGACTCAAGGTTGGACGAGGAAAAGAAGAGCGAAAGAGGAGAAGAGAGATTTGGTAAAATGTTGTAAAAGAAACGTGACGTAGGAAGTTGTGATGATTATTGGAGACATCTGGACCTCGGAAAGGTGGGTAAATCCGAGACGAGCGGGATCGATAACGTGCCCCTCCACACTGCTGAGTGTGACTCAATTTTTTCTTTTCTCTTTCCCTTTCCTCTACGTCTACAACTTTCACTTCTCTCCCACGCTTATTATTCAATCTCTATAGGAGCGGAGGTTATTTGGCACCATGTCATTGACCGAATCCGTAGCAGTTGATGTCGCCCGTAGCGCATCACTTGCCTCTCGTCGTCTTGCAACTTTAAAGAACGATGACCGCAATAAAGCTTTGACGTTGCTTCATGATGCATTGGAAATGAACCAAAAGGACATCCTTGAAGCCAATGCTAGGGATGTGAAACTTGCTACTATTGCAGCCGACAACGGGGATTTGAGCCATAGCGTGCTCAAGAGACTTGATCTGTCGCGGCCTGGAAAATACAAAGATATGCTTGATGGGATTTTGAGTGTGCGAGATTTGGATGACCCTAGTGAGTTTACTTTCTAATCTTTAAGCTTCATTGAGACAGTACTTAATAGAATACAATCATAGTTGGGAAAGTCACACTGCGAACTCTCCTTGACGATGGTCTGACATTGGAGAGAGTCAGCTGCCCTATCGGTGTGCTACTGATTATCTTTGAGGCCCGCCCAGAGGTAATAGCAAACATCGCTGCGTTAGCCATCAAGTCGGGTAACGCTGCTATTCTGAAAGGTAACACGCAAGCCCTTATAAAGGTTTCATGATATTGTTCCATTGACACAAATTTCCAGGTGGAAAGGAATCCATGGAATCCTTCGCGGCAATCGCGAACGTTGTCTCCAAAGCTATCGCCGAATCTCGCGTACCGGTGTCATCGATTCAGCTGGTCAAGACACGCGATGCGGTGTCTTCTCTCTTGGCCCAGGATTCGTTGATTGACCTGGTCATTCCTCGAGGTTCCAACGAACTCGTCCGTTTCGTGAAAGATAACACGAAAATCCCTGTGCTTGGACATGCCGATGGCCTTTGTTCTGCTTACATACATGCCGATGCCGATATCGATACTGCTGTGAAAGTTATTGTGGATTCAAAAACGGACTATCCAGCGGCATGCAATTCATTGGAGACCTTGCTTGTCCATGAGGATACCCTTGGATTGGTCTTCCCGGCGGTAGCTGCTGCTCTCCTAGAGAAAGGCGTGACTCTTCGTTGTGATCCTGATTCAAAATCTGCTTTGACAAAGACATTGCCAGCCGAGAAATCAGTGCAAGTACAAACGGCTACCGAATCCGACTATAACACTGAGTTCTTGGACCTTGTGTTGGCAGTGAAAACAATTCCCTCGACTGACCCTCCAATCGCGGCCGTGGAGGCTGCCATTACCCATATAAATATGCATTCCTCAAAGCATACCGAGATAATTTTGACTCGGTCAAAAGAGGCGGCGGATATGTTCATGAGCGGAATTGATAGTGCCGGTGTCTTCTGGAATGCATCTACTAGGTTCGCCGATGGCATGCGGTTTGGATTTGGCACGGAAGTTGGCATCAGCACCAACAAAATCCATTCCCGAGGACCGGTCGGACTTGAGGGCCTGACCATCTACAAGTACTTGATCCGGGGAAATGGTCACGGTGCAGCGGACTATGACGGTGAAGGAAGGAAAAAATATCTGCATACTAGACTGCCCATAGGCCAGTAATCGCCTCCAGCGCAACGCATCAATAGAAGGATATCATTTTAGAAAAGATTTTTTTTTCTTGCTTTCTTGTTTGAAAAATCCCATAAGAAAAAACTTAGGACAAAGCCTGATTCAATTTTCTTTTGCCCCTTCATTCGTAAATTCTCATTTCCCAGTCCAACCAAAGACATCCCGCCACTTTTAAGTACACAGACTTGAGGCCTTTGGCTAGAACTGAAACGATTCCAGGCACCGAGAAAGTCAATGTGGCCAATGCATCTTTCACAATACATACACACCGCATTACCCTCATCATGTCCCTTAGACCTTGAAGCCCTTGGACCTTCTGCGTCCACGGGCCCGCTCGAACTTGCGGCCCTTGCTTGCCACGTACGGCTTCTGTTTTGAGTCAGTAAATTTGAATCACATAATCTCGTTTTCCAGTCGTAATAATAACGCACCTTGTCGGTGTGAGGACCGAAGCCGAAGTGCTTCACGGCCTCACGGGCGTTCTTAGGTCCACGCAGGAGGAGAGTGTTGGCACCGGTAGGAGCACGGAGAGCAAGCTGGTCAAGAGTCAAAGTCTCACCACCAGCCTTCTCAATGCGAGCGCGAGCGGTAGCGGTGAAACGGAGGGCAGCAATCGACAGCTTGGGGACGGTCAAAAGGCGGTTGTCATCGGTGACAGTGCCGACAACGACGACGGTCTTGCCCTTCTGCGCCTCGCTGATGTTGGCGACAGCGCGAGAAAGTGAAACAGGGGGGCGGTTGATTCTCGACATGAAGAGACGACGAAGGACGGCCTTGTTGAAGTTGGACTCGGTGCGGCCTATCATGCATCTCATATCAGCCTCACGAAAATCCCCACAACGGTACACCTGTAGAAATTGCGCTGCAAACGAATTTGGAATCGGGGGGGTTCATACGAGCCAAGAAGCGGTAGAGCTTCACCAGAACCTTCAAGTAGACGTTGTCGCTCTTGGGAGCCTTGCGGTGGCTGCTCCGCACATGGTGGCGGTCCAAGTCGATACCTGCAATTTATGAATGGTCAGTGGAATGAACTGACAACGAGAAGAAAAAGCGAAGGGGTTCGAATGAATGCTGCGGGATGCGATAATCGAGTAAAAGGAGATGATTGAACATACCCATGGCTGTGTATTGGTCGACTTCCCGGGAAATAGCTTGCTGTCGCACCCGTATGGAAAGTGCAGGAGGTTTTTGATCCTTGACTTTCGGCTGGACAGTGGTGTGTGGGTTTAGCCCTACGCTAGACCTGACTAGGAAAGGCGAGGCACATGACCTAGCTGCAGCCACGTGACTTGTACATGTTTCCATTCGCCGCTTGGTCACGTGGTGTATGGGTCTGGTTGCATCTAACAAATGAACCTTATCTTCAGATTCTGTTAGTTATCTGCCGTACATCTCCAACCTACATCAACATCAACATATTCCGTATAACAGAACATTTCATCTACTCTTTATCTATGTGTATATATATATGCATTATGTATAATCAAATGTTCATGATAATAATGAGAAAAATATATCTAGGCACATATGTGATTAGAACTATTCTCTATCATTCAAGCCGACAAAGAAATCACGAGTCATTTCATAACTCAACCAGCTGCTTGCCATGCTAGGAGCAACTTTCAGAAGATTCGGCCCTATCCCCTTGAAGAGTCCACGTAGTCCCTCTTCAGCCACGATGACCCTCACAGCATCCCAGATTGAGGTGTATTGGTAACCCATTCCCGACATTGTGTTGATCTGGAATCGCCGACGTAGGACATCACTAAGGGAAAGTCAGTTTCACGGGGCCTAGCCAAATAGAATAAGATAACCGACAAAGGATAGGTACAGGTCTGGGCGACTGCTCCAGAGACCGCGCCGGCGAGTAATTTTCGACAAGAGCTAGGGTTTTTGTCCCCTTCTGGTGTTAGATACTTGCGCGCCGATTCGTAGGTCATGAAATTGAGTCCCACCTGTCGCTCGTCAGTTGTGACCAAGTCAAATTAAGCTGAAAACTCACGTATGGAGCTACCCCAGCAACAGTAGGAACAATTCCACGGTATAGAGCCTTTGTCCCACCTTCATTTTTATAGATCATGGCTATTGTCGTGAACATGCCTGGCAGTTTCTGGCTTGGATCTCTTGCTCCAAGTTCGGCAAATGAAGCAGATTGAATGGAAAGTCGTGTTCGAACAATGTCCAGAGGATAGGTGATAGTCACCGAAGTGATACCGGCAAGACCGCCACAAAAAAGGCGAAGCATCGGGGTCATCTCACCATCGGGAGACTCTACGAACTGAATCAAAGAAATGTCAGTTTGCATCAAACCCTAGTTCTGCAGGATAGAAATAGCCACCCACTTGCTTATAAAAATTATAGCTTCCAAACTGTACCGCAGAGTAGGGGATAATGCGAATACAGTTTGTTCCATTTCCTCGCATGAAGCCCCGCCAGCCTTCTTCCCGCCCCATCTTTACTAAGGCTTTCCAGATTGACAATCTGTATTCTGTTCGACCGACGCTTTGAATCTGAAGAAGGATTTTCAATCTTTCGAGTGGCGACACTATTGTCCTGGAAACTGCACCAGCCACTCCACCAGCCATAAATGCAGCCACCATTGGTTCGGCGAGGTACTTCCTAGTACGAACCCAGATTGAGGGAGTTTTCTCCTTAATCAGCTCCTGCTTAATCAACTAGTCAGCCTCGCAGCGCATATGGACCGGAGATCCCCTTCTCACCTTGGCTGCATTTGAACCAGATGGAAACTTGGATAGAGTCTGCAAGGCAGGCTTTGGAGCACCTTCCAACTGCTCCTTCTGAACATCCTGGCGATCTAAGCTCATCTTGACAATATGCACATCCGGTTCGGCAATGAGGTTGATAAAGAAGTCCTTTGTGATCTGCCGTGTAATGATTTTCTGAAATTATTTTAATTGGAGAATGATGCTTGATTGTCGCTGAAAATCAAATGCGATATAACACTATTGATGTAGTGCTAGCCATGAAGGTTGGTTGTTTTCCGAGGCTTGGTGATCTAAAAACACATCATTGATTTTGTGTCCAGTGGTGTATTGCTTTTTTTTTCAACGGCCATATAACTGAGGTATAAAGGGTAATGTTGATAGTGGATTTGCCAAAAAGGAGAAGCGTCGAAAAGAAAGGACGGGTTGTTGGGCCGGAGTTGCTTTTCTTTTCCCCTTCAATGTTGGCAGGAGATGTCGTTGAACAGGTCAAAAGAAAGAAGGAATAAGAACACAAATAAATCACACAAGAGGTGGTATGTATACCTGGAAAAGGTGCTTGGAGGTTTAGAAAGAGAAGAACATCCCGACTTACCGACAGACACGGTACCTCCCGATAGTCCGCCACTTATATTACGTACCTACCTTGGGGGGTCCACGGGCGAACTAGTTACATAGTATAGTTCCCTCAAACCGATTGTATAAGTACTCCAGACAGATCAAATCTAGATCTAGATCTATGATTTAAATAAAGAATATTATACAGAGCGTATTTATCAATACCAAGTTTCTCTCGTAACATAAAACAAAGAAGAAAAATCAAAGAAACCAAAGAATAAACCTTTCATCAATTGCGTCATTGGCATGTTTGATCCACCGTAGCACCTTCATCACGATTTCTTTCTTGCGCCCTCTCTCTCTTCCTTATACTCTTTATCCTCTTGAAGCTTCTTAAGCTCCATCTCTCCTTTCAAATTCTTCCAAATACTTTCCAACTGACACAATCTTCTTTCTTTTTCATTGCTCTGTGCTAACGGCACCATGTCTTCTCGCTCTGGAACTACTCTGTATGTTACCGGGTTTGGCCATGGCACCCGTGCTCGCGATCTTGCCTACGAATTCGAACGGTACGTGTCGCCTATACCTTCGCACCTACGAACTTCGATTCCCATCCTTCCGACGACCTCCCGATGAAGACCATTGGCACTAAATGCCTTGGACGACACTCTTCCTTTCTACTAGCGTGACATTGGTGTGGAAGCTTGTGTCTACGTTGCCTCGTCTCACTCCTTGGGCAACTGTTAGCTAGTCTTGGTCATTCCTTATCATAATTTCTCTTAATACCGATACCTGAAGCTAGCTCAACTGATTTTGGAACTAGTTATGGGCGTCTTGTTCGCTGTGATATCCCTGCCCCGCGCACTCCCTCTAGCCGACTGTGAGTTGAAATGATATCTGAAACCACTTTACCTGTCTAATCTAAGTCGCTTAGTTTCGCATTCGTTGAATACGAGAGTCGCCGCGATGCCGATGATGCTTACCACGAGATGCACAACAAGCGTATCGGCCGCGATGATTTGCTGAAGATTGAGGTAAGCATATCCGCCCCCCGAAGCTTTGTTAAATATCTTTTAACCTATCTCCAGTGGGCACGTACTCCTCCCTCCGCTTCCTGGCGCTTTGACTCTGGCTCTGGCCGTGACGCTCCCCGTGACGCTCCCCGTGACGCTCCCCGTGATGCTGGCCGCGATGCTGGCCGTGATCGTCGCCGTGATCGCACTCCTCCTCGCCGTGGTCGTTCCCCATCCCCCCGTCGTAGCCGTGGCGGCGACTATTCCCCCCGCCGAGATGATCGGTACGAACGTGACGCCGACCGTACCGACCGTGACTACGACCGCCGCGACCGTGATCCTGACCGCCGTGACCGTGACCACGATCGACGTGACCGTGACCGTTCTCGTGACCGCTCTCGCAGCCCTGACGACCGTGAACGCGATGGCAAAGAGGACCGGGAAAGACGCGATGATGATCGCGAGCGTCGTGAGGAGGACCGTGAAAACGGCCCCAACGGTGAGGACAGGAAAGGTCAGTTGCCTCGGAATCTAACCTAGAAAACGTTCTTTTCACTCACATACAGCAGTACCCCTGGACCCAATGCCTTCTGCTCATGATGAGCTTGATACTGCTGAGTAGATAAACTCAGTACTACGTTCATTCGCTCTCGAATCATGCCCCCGTCGTCATTCTGTTTTCGTCCTCTGAAGGTGTCCTTCATTGCGGTTGAGCCAACGGGGAGGGAGGATACAAAGTTATCGCCCAGTGTTTCTCTTAATACCATCCTGTGGCATATCTCGTATCTCGTCCCCCTTTGCCTCTTGTGTGCTTCTGATTTCAAATGGCATGAAGCTTGCTCTTCGGGACAAGCTGGGGCCAAGTGAACGTGTGACCCTTGCTCCCCCTACCTTTTTTTTTCAAATTTTCCTTTTCCCCAAGTTATTCCCAATATTTCTTTTTTGAGGTTGGTAATTTATCCTGGTCAGCAGCTCGGATCCCACCGAAGCGAACGTCGAGCGACCGTTCCAAGTCGGCGCCCAAAAACCACGATGAAATCCGTTTCGCCCTCCGTCTTGTTCGCAATTTAATTTGAAAGCGGTTATTTCAATTCCTCGCCCTCTCCGACCGGTCGCCATCCTATGTGGTCTGGTATTTTCTAAACCACTGTAGTGCCTTAGTTGTATGTGAGGTCAATGCAAAGCACCAGTTCTATGGCTTTGTTAATAACAAAAAAAGCAATAGAATTTCTGAGGTCATGACATGACGTAAGCTATTTGGCGCGGGGAACCGCAATCAATCCATCGAGTAATCCAGTAGAAGCAACCCTGAAGCCCAAATTATTGCAACTTTATTCAACTTTCAGCTACTTTATACTACCTCCTGTCATGAGTTCAGCAAAGAAAACAGGTATCAGCATTGCAATCGATGTATTACCTTTCTTCCCCTTCACTACTTTATTCAGAACACTGACATGACAAAGAGAGGCGGCACATTTACAGACTGCATTGGAAATCCAGGGACGGGCCGCTTGGAAGATGACATTGTGATTAAACTGCTCTCAGAAGACCCCAACAGCTACGAAGATGCACCTTTGGAGGGGATCCGGCGTATTCTTTCCAAATTTACCGGTCATGAAATCCCTCGTGGGGAACCCATCGATACTTCCTTGATTCAGAGCATTCGCATGGGCACAACCGTGGCAACAAATGCGCTACTCGAACGGAAGGGGGAGAAGGTGGCACTAGTGGTAAGCAAGGGCTTCAAAGACTGCCTCGAGATTGGGAATCAGTCTCGTCCCAGAATATTTGACCTTGCTATCAAACGTCCCGATGTCCTTTACGAGGAGGTGATTGAGGTAGACGAGCGTGTCACTTTGGAGGACTACGCAGAAGATCCGCAACGAAACACAACTGCCACTACTCTCCGGGAACAGGCCCGGGCAGAAGACGAGGTTGTTCGCGGCCTTTCTTCGGAAGCAGTTCGCATACTAAAGCGCCCATCTGAAGGCTTGGTGAGATCACAACTGAAAGATGTATATAACCGCGGGATTAGAAGCATAGCAGTATGTCTTATACATGGGTACACCTTTCCAGACCATGAGGCACTGGTGGGAAGAATCGCCAAGGATATTGGTTTCCACCATGTGAGTTTGAGCCACCAGCTCATGCCGATGATTAAACTTGTGCCGAGGACCACTTCAGCCTGCGCCGATGCATATTTGACCCCTGCCATCAAGAAGTATATCTCTGGATTTCAAGCCGGATTTGAAGGTGGTCTAGGCAGTGAGAGTGTCAAACAGCAGGCGAGCGCCAAAGGTGCTCGCTGTGAATTCATGCAATCGGATGGTGGTCTTGTGGACGTGGACCAATTTTCAGGCCTACGAGCAATTCTATCAGGGCCTGCTGGCGGAGTGGTGGGGTATGCGCTGACTTCCTACGACCCCTTGTCGAAAATACCAGTAATAGGGTTTGATATGGGAGGGACGAGCACGGATGTTAGCAGGTACGGATCCGGTCGGTACGAACACGTCTTTGAGACAACCACTGCTGGAGTGACGATTCAGTCTCCTCAGTTGGATATCAACACCGTTGCTGCAGGTGGTGGCTCGAGGTTGTTCTACCGTAACGATCTCTTCGTTGTTGGGCCCGAGTCAGCGGGAGCTCATCCAGGACCTGCATGTTACCGCAAGGGTGGACCACTCACAGTAACCGATGCCAATCTGTTTCTTGGGCGATTGGTCCCAGACTTCTTCCCGAAGATTTTCGGCTCAGATGAAACCCAGGGACTCGATGAACAAGCTAGTCGGGTGTTGTTCGAAGAATTAACCAAAGAAATCAACCACAAGTTGACCAAAGGGGGCCAAAGTCGAGAAATGTCCCCTGACGAGGTTGCCTTCGGTTTTATCAAGGTAGCCAACGAGACAATGGCCCGGCCTATTCGATCCCTGACAGAGGCCAAGGGACATGACACATCAAAACATAGGTTGGCTACGTTTGGAGGAGCCGGGGGCCAACATGCCGTTGCCATTGCCGAGAGCTTGGGGATTCGGCAGATTTTGATTCATCGGTATTCCTCGGTGCTCTCGGCATACGGGATGGCACTGGCAGACGTCGTTGATGAAAACCAACAGCCCGAATCGAAGACCTGGGCTGATGATGGCAAGGAGGGGGTTCAGTATGCACTTTCTTCAAGAATGGAAGAATTAAAGAAACGATCTACGCAGAGGCTGCAAGAACAAGGCTTCAACAATGATTCAATCGTGTTTGAAGAATACCTCAATATGCGATATCGAGGCACAGAATCTGCCTTGATGATACTTAAACCAAGCAAAGAGGAGGCCGATCTTCACTTTGGGGGCGACGAATGGGCCTTTGGGAAGGCATTTATGAAGCAACACGATCAAGAGTTTGGTTTTACTCTCCCAGATCGGGACATAATTGTGGATGACGTGCGGGTGAGAGGAATCGGCAAAGGATTCAAAATGTCCGAGAAGACTGTGGACCGGCAGATCCAGGAGTCCAACCCAAAGGATGTGACGACGGGCCAAGAACATCGCAGGTCTCTTGTATACTTCGAGGGCGGCCGACTTGAAACGCCAATCTATAAACTCGACGACCTGAAGGTTGATGAGCGAGTCAGAGGCCCGGCGATTTTAGCCGATGCCACTCAAACAATCGTGGTGCCCCCAGAAGCTTCGGCGCTCTTGACAAAAACCCACGTTGTCATCAATATTGGGGAATCCGATGCCAGCCAGCCAAAGATTAGCACTGGTAATGTGGATCCTATCCTGCTGAGCGTCTTCTCTCACAGATTCATGGCTATTGCCGAGCAAATGGGACGTGCTTTACAGAAGACAAGTGTAAGTACCAACGTAAAGGAACGACTTGACTACTCCTGCGCATTGTTCGACGCAGCAGGCGGGCTTGTTGCGAACGCGCCACATTTGCCCGTCCATCTCGGTAGCCTGTCAACATGTGTACGGATACAGGCCCGGATCTGGCAAGGTAAACTGAAGCCCGGCGATGTGATCGTGTCAAACCACCCGGAATTTGGGGGAACTCATCTTCCAGACATCACAGTCCTGCAGCCTGCTTTTAGCCAGGGAAAGATCATATTCTACGTAGCTTCTAGGGCGCATCATGGTAAGACCCCCCGGCGAAAGAGAGAAGGGGGAAACAAACAGATATACTAACCTGCATGAAGCCGACATTGGAGGAATACTCCCGGGATCTATGCCACCTCATTCAAAAGAGCTTTACCAAGAAGGCGCAGCCATCAAGAGCGAAAAATTGGTATCAGAAGGCAAGTTTAACGAGGAGCGCATCACAGAATTGCTGTACAAAGAGCCGGCCCAGTACCCAAACTGCAGTGGGACGAGATGCCTAGCAGATAACTTGAATGATCTTAAAGCTCAGATTGCTGCGAATAAGAAAGGGATCAACCTGATCAGCACTCTAATCGAGGAGTACGGCGAGGATGTCGTGCAGTTCTATATGCACCAGATCCAAGACAATGCAGAGCTCAGCGTCCGCAATCTACTAAAAGACGTGAGCAGGAGATTTGCTGGTCAAGAACTGAGTGCTATTGATTATATGGACGATGGGAGCCCTATTCAATTGAAGATATCAATAGATGGGGAGAAAGGAGAGGCAATCTTCGATTTTGAGGGCACGGGCCCAGAAGTATACGGTATGAGAGTGGCTTTCAAGGTGAAACCTGATGTATGAGCTGACAATGACAGGCAATATCAATGCACCGGAGGCCGTCACATATTCAGCGATCATTTATTGCCTGCGATGCCTTATTTCAGCAGATATCCCATTGAATCAGGGCTGTTTAAAGCCCATTGACGTTCGAATTCCTCCTGGGAGTCTTCTATCCCCCTCGGAATCAGCTGCCGTGGTGGGTGGCAATGTTTTGACGGTAAGATTAGACAGATACTGACGTTGATCATGGGCTCATTTTTTATTTCTTCAGAGTCAACGAGTGACCGACGTCATTTTGAGATGCTTCCAGGCTTGCGCTGCGTCGCAGGGTGATACCAACAACCTCACATTTGGGTTTGGAGGGAATATGCCCGGTGAGACAGAAACGAAAGGGTTTGGTTACTATGAAACCATCGCCGGCGGTAGCGGGGCTGGTCCGACCTGGGAAGGCACTTCAGGGGTTCATACACATATGACCAACACCCGAATCACCGATGCAGAGGTGTTTGAGCGGCGGTACCCTGTGATCCTCCGAGAATTCAGTCTTCGGCCGAATTCAGGAGGTAATGGTCAACACCGCGGCGGGGACGGCGTTGTGCGAGACATTGAATTCCGTATTCCTGTGCAAGTCTCTATCCTCTCCGAACGAAGAGTCTATCATCCATATGGATTGGAGGGAGGCGAGGATGCCCAGTGTGGTCAGAACATCTGGGTGCGCCGCGTGAGAAAGCATGACGGAAGCTGGGAGGAAAGATACATCAATCTCGGCGCTAAGAATTCCGCTCAGATGCTAGCAGGGGAGCGAATCATTATCCGTACGCCTGGAGGAGGAGGGTGGGGCCACATCGGAGACCAGCGCCGACTTCTCGAGGAGAAAGATCATCGTCATGCTTGGCGGGGGGGTTCTATTGCCAACAACATGGCGACGCAGGAGGCGAGTATATGATTCATAGGGAAATTTGGGAGTGAGTTGATTCAATCGGCCAAGGTCAATTTGATTATGATAAAAACGACAAGGGCTAGTTATGGGCAACGTAAATTAAATCCTCCATGGCGATTATGCTTCACTCTCCTCATCACTTGTCGCCTCAATATTCTGCTTTGATAGACCTTGGTTGTCCGAATGAGCATGTCCTTGCTCTCCTTGATCGGACTGGCCACCCTCTGCCGAGTAGACAGGCCGAGGCAGAGTTTCCCCATTTTCTTTCAATGCCTGCTCAATCTCAGGTAGAATAGAGACGATAGCAGCGAATTGATCCACGGGCATTGAGATACCCTACATTGGGAATGAGAGTATTAGCACGGTTTATGAAAACTGACTGATCAATCAACCTTTTTTCCTGGCAACTCCTGCCCCTCCTTTTCATAGTATTCTCTAACATTCACCTGGGTTTTCCCACGGAAAGAAGATATGGTCAGGCGGCGCATTTTGGATATTTCCCAATAGCGATCTCCATTAGAGTCGATTTTGGTTTCCGCTGTGGTGTTGACCTTGGCCTTCTTGGGGCGCACGCTATTGTCAAGGCCAACGCCGGAGTCAGACGAACGTTTCCTGGATGACATGACTTGGATATGATATTGGGAAATCCGATTCGGAGAAGGGATAGAAGAGATAGAAAGAGTAAGAAAGTGGAAAGGTGTCCAAGCACGAATGCGAAACGCGAAACGCGAACACGTCATCACGTGAAGACCAACATTATATACTCCGTGTTCATCATTGACAATTCCTACATGTGGTCTCTCATGTATATTCCAAATCAATATGATCCATTGAACATTTAAAGAGTCAATACCCTAAGGCCCTGTAGTAGAATCGAGAAGACAAATCCTCGAGCGACACTCTCAACTTGAAGACTATCAAAGATCTTCTCTAGCGCTTCTCGACTAGCAGCTGCCCCCATAACACTTGTTAAGGCCTGTGGAATTCCCCGCTGCACAAATAGTTTACGTGCAGTATCCCGTAATCGGATCTTCTCCTCCTCACTGGGTGGAGAGGGCCAGGCTTTAAGTTCCTCCTCTGTCGGAAGCGCGTTCTCACGAAGCTTGACGAGGTAATACCCCAGGGCGTCGTCAGAAGTGTGGCCTTCTATCATGGAATCTTGCAACAGAGTACGAATAGTTTCCAATATCGGGCTGCCGGGACGTAGAATATACGATTTGGCAGCATTCAGAAGGGTCCGGCGTATGTTCCACGCAGACGACAAGGTGTACAACTCATTGATGACCGCAAAGATCAGCTCTACTGCTATTTTCGTCTCATCAGCTGTGATGGGATTCCCCTGATTGCGGGGTTTATCAATACTCTGCCCAGTATCTGATCGGCGATGTGATGAGGTTTGATCAATAGTTTCCGTTGCCCGGACATCAAGTTCTGCAGTATGATCGCTGATATCAAGTGAGGTTTTAGAGGGTGAGATCTCTGTGGTCCATGCACCCCGTTCACTCTCAAACGACTCTCTGGTACTGTCAACCGAAGACGACTTGGAAAGTTCGCCTCCTTGGATTTCCAGGGGGTCGCTAGGGAACACCATAGGCGAATCAACGTTTTCGTTGCTTACGTCGGTACGATCACCAAAGCTAAACCGTGTCTGCGATCGGATGGCGCGACTGGAGTCATCAACTTTGGGTTGAATCTGATCAGCACCGACAGCCGGTTTCTTGCCATTGGCGGTGCCGCCAAACACCCCTGTCATTCCTTCAAAGACGGCTTTACCGCCCCCTGCCACTCCCCTGGGCGCATTGGTCAATGCACCCAGCATACCCTTGCCCATGTGTTCAAACGCAGTTTGACTAGGGAAAGAGAATCCCGGTTTGTTGTTACCGCTAGGTTGAGTGGAAGCACCAGCGTCTTTTTGCAAAAATCGCCGCATTCGATCAGTGTCGGCAAGTGACTCGTGCTTCATGGCATCTTGTAAATACCACCCAAGGTCCCGAGCGAGAGCTAGTCGTGTTTTGCCCTTCCAGGTGGGCAGTATGGGGTGACGCTCCGAGAAACTCGAAATCTGATTCAATCGTGAAACGGTCCCCAGTATCTCGTGAAGAGATTGGAAGTCCGAATATTTGCGAAACACCATCCATCCAGTCGAGCGTGTTGACGCTGGTTCGACCTGTAGCAGATAATCCCACATGGGTCGCGACTTGATTTGGCCTTTTTCATCCCTTGCTCCATCATCATCTACCAACACTTGTGCCCCATGAAGAATCAAAGGTGGCACAGAAGAGTCTTCGAATGATTTCGGGCTTGCAAGTGATTGCGTATTAGGTATCGGCCCCTGGTCTTCGTGGTTTTCGTTTTCATCAGTCGTGTCTGAAGCCAAATCAGTGTTCAAAGGGTAATTTTCGTCAAATTGTTCGTTTTGGCGCGTCCGTTCTGACTCCGAGTTCTGTGTATCGTGGGATACAATCATAGCACTCAGACGTTTCACCTCTAGAACCGCCTCTTCCTCTGTAGCCCTCGCTACATGCATGGAATCTCTCTGTGTGGCTTTGACGGAGTCTGCCTTTGGGTATTCTGAAGACCTGGGAGCACTGACGCCCTGGTTCCGTGCACCCTCAACGCCTGCGTCGATAGCGTGCATAATTTCGGATTCACCGCCCTGCAGAAGATAGATAATCCATTCATTGATAAATTCAGGACGGGCAAGACTGGTAACAGTTGATCCCAATATCACCCCCGCAAAGACCTCACGGAGGAAGTCCCGTACAGCCGGATAATTGTAGGTTTTGGCATCCAAGAAATTCGACAGTATGTCATCCGCGATCATGCTGAGTTTTTTCTTTTGTTGTTCCGCAGACAAGACATTCGCTAGGCTGCTATCCGGAAATTGTTCAAGGTATTGATCCACAGTTTTTTGAGCTTCCGCCGGGAATGAGCCCGCAGCGGTGAATGCTGCTGCAAGTTCATTCAAGAATACAATGACGATAGATGAGGAGTTGGTAAGAAACTGCAAGAACGTGTCCTCTGTTCGTTTCCGCGAGAGGTGCGAAGAAACTGAAGTAATGAAATGAGTCAAAATTCTTCGACAGGAGTCTGGAAAACTTGGCTCGGACGGTAAAAGTGGCTCATACCAGTATCTTTATTTGGGATAAGCTACTTGTTTCACGGTGGGACAAGGGGACATAAATAGAGGATACTTACTTGACATAATCTTTAATGACAGCATCGGTGAGCGTTCTCAACGCGACAGCGGTGGCCGGTTGGAAGGTGGCATACTCCAGGTCTGCCGAGGACATATCTTCCAGCGTATCTATAGAACCATCGTCCCCCTGGATGTCTGAAGCACCAGCCCGCCTCGGCCAGTCTAAAAGTCTGTTGGAGACTTCCAGGGCAAGTTCTCTACGCCGGTTGGGCTTTTGCACGTGGGACGCTTCTTCTCCGTGTTCGTTATCTGATCCCTCCCAGGACGCGTGTAGGACAGCCCCCACAGCCACTCCAATCAGAAGTAGACCGATTCTCCCCAGGACAATATAGGTGACGAGTGCAAGAAGCGCAAAGACTCCAAGGAGGGTCTCATTGGTAGAAGTTGAGAGAAAATTGAGGATAGCATTGATGAGTTCCTTTGAGATCGCTGTATTTAAGATGGGATCTTGCGTCGTGGGAGTATTGTGGTCTTTGTTGGATGGAGCTGAAATGACTTCGGAGTCGTCATCACTGAGGCGACTCATTGTGCTGAGATATCCCGGATTTGGAGGGTGTCCAGAGTAATTGTAGTTAACCCTCCATGTCAAAATCAAATGTGAGTGACCTTGTAGATCTGTGTAGACAAGAAAATAAGGGGATACATAACTAGCAACCTGGGAAAAATGCTTGGCGGACTTGGCCAGTGCGTACATACCTGACACTCGTACTCCGGTATAAGAATAGAACATTTGGACTTCATGGATGTACGGAAAACCAAAGACAAAGCTAAATAGTATATATAATATATTGTATGTATGTATCCAATCATGATTTCCTTACAAGCATGAGCTATATAGCAAGGAATCTAAAGCTAACAGAAAGGAGTTGATCTTCGCTATCCGAGTGAATCTGAGCATTCAAAGAGCATGCGCTTCATGCCAGATGTAAAGAGATTGCGGTTGGGAGAAAGAAAAGGGAGGTGCTCTACAGGGGATAATAATGACCCAAAAACCCATCTGGTCGGGATATACTTGGTAATGTGGCCCTTGGGCAACAAACCACCAGTCCTCATGCGGTGTTCATCGTGAGGTACGGTACTCACTTCCATGAAATCCAAAGACATAAATTCCGACCGCATTAAGAAGAAATTCATGGATTGACTCGAGGAAAGAGTACCGTCGGAGATTGAGGAATGGTCATGATGAAAAATAGAGGAACAAAGAAAGACAACAAAGAAGAACGAAAGATTTTGTCACTAACTAGGGGAATTTTATATTACCTAATACTTAGCCGACAACTCCTCGACGCTAGTCCCATTACAGTTAGGTTACATAACTGGAGCCGAGGTCAGTTAGGTGGGCATACAAGCCTCAGATAGTGTAGTGTATTTTTCCAATTGTTTCATCTATGTTTTTGTTTTCGTTTATGCCTCTGTCTTCTAGAAAGCATCTGCGAGAGCATAAAGTGATTGACATCCTCATCTCCCCAATAGGTGAGATGGCTAGCAATGCTGGCTATCAATGAGATATCGAAGGCTCCCCTATATTCCGTTAACAAGGTTCAACAATGCAGGGCATATGGTCTTACTCTTGGATGCTGTAGTCCACACGGCCGTTTGCATTCAAGGCACGCACTTTTGCGTCCTCGAATTTCAGCCTCCGATCCTGGTTAGTGTCGGCATCGGGATCTAGACTCTCGCCATGATGAACACTCCTGCTTTTTTGGAAACCATCGTAAAGAGTTTCTAGATCAGATTCAATCAGTGTTTGATGGTGATCGTCGGATCCATCGGGTGTATGCTGAGCTGAGCCTGACTGTGACCGTCTATGGATTGATTCATCACCTATTTTACTACAAGTCCGAGCAGCCGATGAGGTGTCATCGCCATTCAGACCCAAGCTGCGATTCAATAAACTGCTTGCAACACCCGTGGTAAAATTTGTCCATAGGGATCCCACACTTTGGCCCATGCGGCTACCGAGAATAGACAGACTCTGACCAGAGGTCGTCCAGAGGCTTTTCTTCACCGAAGGTAGAGGCTGAGGCTTCAGGGTTGCCATCGCTGGAGATATCAAAGGCTCGACCCGGTAGCTCACCGGGTCAGAGGGATGGAAGATATTGTAGAGATCTCGACACTTTGGCGTTGAGATGATACCAGCATTGTCGCTGAGCGTATGTCTAGGACCATGCGAGTCCAAGTCGATCTCGACATCCATGGCATTTTTGCGATTTCGGGGACCTAAGGCAGAGTATCCACCAATCGTCTTACCCTTGAGCATTTGAAATAGTGCAATGGGTGATCCCAGACAGAAAAACTCTTCGCAGTCAAACTCAAACGCACTTGAACCCTTGGGGGGGGCCGAGTCGTCGCTCTCATGGGCCATTCCCTTGGAGGCACCATTCTGTCCGGTATTGCTTCCTGGCTGGTGACACAAGATGTCAA